ACAGTGCGACTTGTTAGAGCAAAATAGCTCTTGCTTTAGGGACAGCTTTGGCTCTGCAACTACAACACAGGAGAAGTAGGAAGTTCTCCAACATGACAAAGCCCTTTGCTTCAGCAAATACTTCTGATTCAGACTCTGGTATGAAATTGCATGAACTGTGAACGCGCTGGGAAAACGCTGTTGTGTTTATAACTGAAGGGACTTCAACTCTTGGTTCCCTAGAGGTCTGTTTTTTCCTGGTGAGTTTTTTTTTTGTTTTGTTTGTTTTTTCCTCTTCCAACTTACACACTGCTGTGGGTCTGCCTTTCAACAAGTTACACAGGATGAATAATGACGTCTTTGGAGTGACCTTGAGAGAGCAACAGCCCGGTTACCCGAGGCAGCCTACCTAAAGTAAGCACACGTGAGAGCGGCGCCTGCCAAGCCAGGAGGGTTTCGTAAGAGTTGACTCTCGTGTTCCAGCAGGCATTTTATCCTTGTATTATTCTGCTTGCCTTTTTTTTTTTTTTCTTCCTTTTGAAGAAACAATATGTACATGGAGTAACTTTTGGCATCAAAAAATTTGTAATATTGCATTATACAGCCTTCCTTTTATATATATATATTTTTTTTTCCCCCTGATCCCAAACCACTTGTAGTTTCATAGGCTTTGTTTTTGCAACATCACACGTGGACTGGTTTATAAAGGGCGTCAGCTGGGCTGCTTGAGGACACAGTTGGTGTTATGTCCTTCTGTGTGTCTGAAGGACAAAATACGTCTCCTTTATACTTGATGGGAAACAGTGAAGAAGAGGCAAGTGAAAAGACCACAAGGACATTCAGACTGGGCATCTTCCACTGCCTTTGGTCTGGGGGCAACAGGGCAGATTTGTCACCAGCTTAAAACAAAGGTCCAAGATGCTGCTGTGCCAGAGGTGCTTAAATACCACTTAATTTCTGCCCTGGAAGTTGTTGCCAATAGAATAGTTTCAGAAAAAGTGTATTTTTTTTAATTTATTTTTTTAAATCCTAAGTTTTAGTACTACGGTTTTAGGACTATTGTTTGCTGGGAAACTCCCTTCTTTCCTCCCCAGCCCTCCCAAGATTTGTGTGTTTGCTGCAGTATTCTGAACCATGATTTAAAAAAATACCTGTATGTGAAATAGCATTCTCCAAACCAGTTTCTGTTCAGGACTCGTATGACTGTGGTTTATGGGTTGTTATATGTGTGCGTGTGTATAGAATTAGAGAATCGTTTAGGTTGGAAAAGACCTTCAGGATCATCGAGTTGCTACAGACTCCTGCAGACACTTGATAGCAATAGAGAACTCTTGGTTAAACATTTCTTATCTCTAGCAAACATGCCTCTAAAGTGGCATCCCCCTTGCTGATTGCTAAGGAAACAAAGCGTATGAAAAAGCGACAGCTCATCTTCCCTCTTGGCAGAAAGATGTCGGGGTGGGGAGCCTCTCTCTTTGCAGTTGCTGCTGCCTGAGTGTGGTTGCAGTTGGACAGTGGACTGTGAAATAAGGGAAAAAGCTAAATTCTCTAAAAATAGCAGGCAGCTGCCTGTCATAGGGTGGAGTGTTCTGCTCAGGTAAAATCCATATGTGGAATGTCTGCTGGTCGCTTGTGGGAGTGAATCTTCCAGGTAGAGAGAGTAAAACACTGAATAGAGATTTCAGTATCTGAGGGAGGCCAGTCAAAGGCAAGACCAGGCTCTGCTTCTGCATTAATCTTTGGTTTAGTTTTTCAGTTACCTGAAGGTCTGATAATGTATAAAGTTATTTTGATTCATAGTAGCCTGAGCATTAATTGTATCAATCTATTACTAAATCTTAATTCAACAAAAGTTTTTATTTTAATTCGATGGAAGTTTTTATCTTAAGACTTTTGAGACCCTAGTATTTGTAAGTCCTGGGGTATAGAATAATGTGTTATTATCTGATAGACTTTTAGGATATTTAAAGCTTCTCGTATGGTGCTTGAAACTGTTCTCCAGTGTGATGTGGTGTGCATAACTTCTTCAAAAAGAGTAAAAGAACGTGAGGCATTAAATAAAGAAAGGCTGCAGTGGTTAATACCCTTGTAAAATACAGCAGCCTGGGGCAAAACTGTGAAATGAACAATTTGAAACTAGAAACATCCTGGAGTTGCAGAGGAAATATTAATTCAACATCTCCCCCATGAGCCTGCTGCATGCACGGAGCATTTCCCAGGGTTAGTATTTTGGGAATAGACATGACTACAGGGCAGAAGTTTGGCTCCTGCCAAGTTGGGCTGGCTTTGGCTTGAACACACAAGATCTCTGTGCCCCGTGGCTTGCCCAGTTGTTAAGGTCCTTTAAGAAGTCAAAGCCGTACTCATCTGAGTAATCTTGACCCGTATATGTCTTTCCATCGGAAAAGACTAGCCATAGCATCAGGGTTTTCAGGTGAGGACTGTTATTTTGGTAAACTCTGTCCCAGTCTATCCCAGTTTGAACTAGAAAAGAGGTTGTCCACTGTTGCTGTGTTTTAGTGGGTAGATGGGTTAGTAGGTGGTGTATGAGACTCACACAGAAGAAATGAGGGCTCCCCTTACCCACCCCAAGAACTTGTCCTGGGGGCAGCTACATT